CCCAGTCTGTACACCTCCAATCATCTCACTAGCTCCTTGGCCACGGACTTTTTCTGCTGAGACATGTTGCGAGAGTTGCCACGGGTACTTGAAGGATTTCCCGTTACGACACCTCTCTGGTTCTGGTTAAAAGGTCCAAATTCTAGGTGAGAGGCCCTCATGTAATACCTGAGCTATGACATGCGTACTATAGACCAGTGGTTCTCAACCTTCCTAATGCCTCCACCCTTTCATACAGTCCTTCATGCTGTGGTGACCCACAACCAAAAAATTATCTTCATTGCTACTTCATAACTTTAATTAATCATCATGTAAATATCTGATATTCAGGATGCCTTTTAATTGTTACAAATTGAACATAAAGCATAGTGATTAATCACAAAAACAATATGTAATTATAAATTGTGAAATACTTATTTCTGATGATAAATCAATGAAATGTTGTTTTGGAACATGGTGTAGCATGGATAACAGTCTTCACGCTGGGTACTCGTAGGTAGGCGGATGCACCTGGAGACGGATAAAGGAGCGATGTCTCAGTTCCTAAGACCATGGGAAATATGTGAAAGGGTCATTCGACCCCCAAAGGGGTCAGGACCCACAGCTTGAGAACCGCCGTGAGGCTACAGCTTCATCCCAGGCACTTACCCAAGGTTTGGAGGACCTGGAAGGTCCTTACCCTGCAAGTGGTGCAATGGAAATGATCTTTGTAACTAAACTCTTATGGAAACAGGTATTTCCATCGAACCTTAGGATACTTGTCCTCCTTTTAAACTCGAAGGTTCCTTTTTTTATTTTTTTATTTTTCCCTGAGAAAGGTTTTTCTCAGGAGATACAAAAGGCCACATGGGGATTTTGAAACCCCGCACGTTGCTGTCTCAGAAGCACATAGAGAAATAGGCCACAGGGCTCTCTAGTCTGTTCTCATCAAGTTTACGCACTATCATATTTTAAAAGACGTGCGTTTGGGATCCTATTGTTATTACTCTTTCCACGTAGTCATCTCTGACTCACGGGAAAAAACATCCAGAACAGAGTTAGCAGTGGCCTGTCCTTGCGCCATCGTCCAGCAGGTGTGAGTCCATTGCGGGAGCTACTGTCACATGCATGGTGAGCCGTTCCCATTAGCTTTGTTGACCCTGTACTTTGCCAAACTCAATTTCCTGATCTAATAGTTGGTCTTTCCTTATTACACGTGCATTATAAGCAAGCTGAAGCCTCCCCGTCCTCACTTCTAAGGTACATTCTGTTTTTTCTGTCTGACTTGATCATGCTTCAGACAATACATAGTATAATGGAAAGAAGAAAAAATCCTACAAACTCCTGCCAGCTAGGCTTTTCTGACTGGTAGCAACCTCATAAGACAAGATAGAGTTCACTGCTCCTAGGAGAGTCTGAGACATTAAGTGTTTATGGAAGTAGAAAGCCCCTTCTTCCTCCTGAGGAGTGGCCACCTTGCTTTAATTTCTTCTTGTTTATCCCCTCTACTCAACCGCTTTAAAGAACAGAGATGTCAGTGAATACTAAGGTGTCCAAATAGAGCCAGGTGCTGCTATTTTCAGTTACCTCAGATGCGTATGAAAACCAGAATATGAATAAGGAAAACCTGGGTAAAAAACTGATACATTTGGTTCTGGTGTTGGTAAAGAATATTGACTATGCCCAAGGACTGATAGAATGAACAAATTGGCACATCTTTTCTGGTGCAGTGGAGGGTCAGCAGAGAAAGAGGAAGCCCTTAGCAACATGGATGGACACCTTGGCAACTACCATGTTTTTATGGGGGCTTGTTTGAGAAAAACCTCTGGCTCTCATCACAGTGCTTGTGAGTCCAGAAGAAAATTGGATGCGATTGCCAAATCCATTTAAAGGCTTTCAGAGATCTGGATGCTTGTTAAGTGAATACAGGACATGTGGATCCATTATTCTTTTTTGTGTCGATATTATGTCTACATTATGGCATTATGTTGGAAGACCTGTGTTTGTTCAACCTACGGAATACCTTCAGTTGGGAAATAAAATTCCTATCAGCCAGATAGCACCTGAGAGAAAGGGGTATGAATACTTCCAAATCCGAAACATCCTGTTTTATAAAATGATATACTGGCTGCATACATGGTCAATAAATTGTGAGGGATACTGTGAGAAGCTTTTAAAAATACTTTAGAGTTTCAGGACCTGAAATTATTTCAGAAGCGCTGTCTTTTTTAATGCCATATCCTATGTAGAAAAAAATATTTTCCAATACTCATCACATCGAAGCAGTGCTGAAAACCTGATAGAAAATGGTTAAGTCTCAAAATGTTAGTGACAAGATCCATCATAGTGGAAAGTTCCAACAGTTCTATTTAGTGATTAAAGAGTCCATTTTATTGGACAGTATTGACAAACTACCTGCACTTACAAGTTAAAGAATTAGTCACAGCCATTGTGAAAAAGCAAACAATGTTTGACTGCCAAGGAACCTACTTCTTTACTTTTTAGGAGTTTGCTGAATTAGAAAAGTTGTTACAAGTTCCAGGGCCTTGGAAGGATTTTACAAGTTAATTGAAAAGGTAGTCGATTCATAGTCAAAGACTCAGCTTTAACATATCAGGTGATAGCTGTTCAGTTCATGCACACAGCATCTTTCTAGATTGAATGAGCATTTGGGATGAGGCGGTCTGAGCCACAGACATTCCTGGGGTTTTCTTCAATTGTTTTTGCAGTCTTAAACACCCTGTGGAGCAATTTGAATCTCCCTGTAGGGTTGCTATGAGTTGGAACACACTTGGTGGCAGTGGGTTTGTATTTAAGGGTTTTATTCCCACTGGATGGAGCTCTTGTGACACAAAAGAGCTGAGCGCTGGGCTGACAACCCAAAGGTTGGAACTTCAAACCCATGAGCCGCTTCATGGGGGAAATATCTAGCCATCTTACTTCAGAAAGATTGTAAGTAAGAAAGCCCTCTGGGGCATTTATAGTATGTCACGCGGAGTCGTTCTGAATCAGAATTGACTTGGCACAATAGCCGCAATCACTAGCTGAGCGATCTTGGACGCGTAAATCACTGAGGTTTCTGTTCTCTCTCCTCAACATACATATTTTGCAAAAGGAAAAATGATTGTAACAAATCTGTCGAGTGCCTCATACTTTGAATATGTAGGTAGGATATGTGTTGGATAAAATAATGTGGTGGTTTGTTAATTGCAGCTAGTGGATCTTGAGTGAAAGGATCATGTCCTTCATTGTGGCTAAAGGACAGTGAACAGAGGGGAGCTCCACTCCTGGAGTATGGATGGCATTACTTAGCAGGACCCAGAGAGGTCTGTCCTCTCTCTGGACCGCTACTGGCCATGACTCCAGATGGGGGGGCTCAAACCATGTTGGTCCGTGAGAGCCCATGACAGGTTGAACGCTTTTGCTGGTAAACTCTAAAATTATAGCATGAGTGACAAATAGATGTTTGTTTTTGATATGATCCTGATTATTACTGCAGCTGAACCTAACCTCTCCTGAGTAATCAAGAGCATCGATGCCCTTCTTAGAAACTCATGATAATGCCCTCATTAGAAAAGCTCAACTAAGTCCAAAAAGTACCAATGGCTCCGTCTGGGATTTCTCCATGGCCAAAGCATGTGACTTCAAACATGTTCCTCAGAGCATCCAGGATTCTCCACCCTGCAGCGCTTCCTTCAGATGCTCAGGATCAGTGAGAACAAGCTACAGTAGCGCTTCGGTATGATTCCAAAATGGCTGCGATTGGCTAGTCAGAGTTATGAAAAACTATTTCATCCAAGTTCTCTTAAGAATAGAGGAGGGGGGACTTATATCTCCAGGGTAACATGCCCGGATCTGGGAAGAGTTAGCACATGCTTAGATGGTCATAGCTTGCTGCTCAATTATTTTGTTCCCATCGCTAAGATCTGAATCCTGCATATTTGTAGAGTGCTTACTGTGTGGTGTGTAGTTCTCTGGGAATTATAAAGAAAATGAAGACATTGCTACTGTCTTCAGAGCTGACCGAGTTGAGGAATCAAGCCAGAAACATATGAAAAAATACATATATAATGCTATGCAGACCAAGCACACATACAAGAATTAACACTGTATTAAAAAGCTATTTTGGTCTGAAAAAAACGTAATTTCTAGATTTTGGAAATATAGAAACAAAGCCTGCAATGCCTTGGGAGAGAAATGTAAGAGCACATTCGACTGATATGATGAACTAATATGATGAATACTCATGGAAGGGACATTGTCATTGAAGGCTAAAATTAGAAAAAGAAAAAGGAAAATGTATGCCAACAAATTCACTACCTCACTGACTCCCATCTGTATCAACAACTCTTCTTTGTTTATTTAATGTCATCCGCATTCTTTCTTCTATATCTGCTTCTAATATTTGGCCGTTTAACTGGGTCTCTGTTAAAGTAGTTTGATATTATTTTTCAGAGTGGTCATTGTCAAAAGCTCTGAAGACAGGTGAAGTTGCACATTGGATCCATACATAGTACACTGGCGGTGTCTTCAAAGACCAAAGTCTTAATATATCTGATTCCATTATGTTTAAATAGAGCCAGTTATATTTGAATATCAATAGGGTAAACAAATATGCCAAGCTCGTGGAGTTGTTGTGGATATGAAACAAGATGTTTTATATAAAGTATTTAACACACACTGAGTCTTCAACAAATGAGTTACCAGCATTATTTTTTTCTCTGATCTGCACTGAAAAATATTTACCCTTAATATATGGTACTTAATGAAAATAATTTGTTGCGAATCATAGGCAAATATCTTATTTTTGGCAAGTTGTTTACTAGGAAAAATAGTCAAGGAAGCATTTTTATTCATGTAAGATATTACTTTGTTACTCATGGTACTTCCTCGTTCTAGGCTAAATGTACAAAGACACTGAATCCATGTGTGTATGTGTTTGATAAATTGACTTAACAGAAAACTAATAATTGGAGTTGTTCTTTATATGTTATTGTAAAAATATTTTATTTCCTTTTCAGATTGTTGACAGCTTCCATTGTATGACCAGACTCTGCTTCAGCTTTATGAAACTCCATAAAACTTTCCACGGTCCTATAGCATGTGTGCACCCCTGCAGGGGTGTTTTTATTTTTTCATATTATTGGATTCTTCCAATCCTATAGATGAAAATTTGCTCTCCTTGCTCATTTTTGGAATATTTCTTCATAGCTGCTGAGATGAGATTGCTTGGAGAGTTACTGAATATTAATGAACATAGATTCTGCCCATTGGGTTCTGTGTATAACTTGGTGTAACACTGAAGCATAACATATTTTAAAAAATATTTTATTTCCAAGTCTGTGAGAAAACTGTTAAGCCTCTTTATAATGAAAGACTCAGCGGGGTCTATTTCTGTCCTACAGACCTATTATGGGCTTTTGAACATGACTATTAATATTTATTCCCTTTAAAAAACCTGGTACATTTTTGCGACATGGAACTTCATTTCATATCTTATAACTCTTAGTGATTATAAATGTATCTTTATTAAATTTCAATGTATGAAAGATTTCAGTAGTTAAGGACCTACAACAGTAGTCCTTTTATTCTGAGAAAATGGGTCTGGGCTCATAAGTGAAATTTACTTCATAGTCCTAAACACTATCTAAGTCACAACTTTTTTTTGAGGAAAAGCCTGGGGCACGAGGAGATTACCAGGTTTGCCGCTTACCGCAAGGTCAGCAGTTCGAATCCACCAGCGGTTCCAAGGGATAAAGATGAGATTATCTACTCCCATAAAGAGTTACTGTCTCGGAAACCCACAGGGAAGTTGTACATTGTCCCACAGTGCCTCTGAGTCAGAGACAACTGGAGGCAGCGAGTGCTCGTCATGATGGACATGGTTTCATACCACACAGTCCACCCGACACTTTACATTCATTTACTTATTCCGTACACTGGGATTATGACAATGAACACAGGGTTTCTTTCTAGTTTTGTTTGTAACACACACAGAGAAAAGCAATGAGATGAGTTTGGTGGCATAAGAGTTACTCTGTGATTCTTCTGCAGATTATTTGTGCAAAAACACTTCACAGGTTAACTAATTTAAACTTCAGGAAAAAATTTTGCTTAGAACCAATTCAGTCATGACCTGCAGAATCAAGGGTAGTGTACCTGTTGCCTAGCAACCAAATCTCTCGCTAGTACATTTTTGTACTGAGTAGGAAATAGGTAGTGGTGCCCTGCTAAAGGTGATGGAGTCATTGGTAAAACCTGTGGAGCTTGACCTACCTTCAAAGCCACACCGTTGGCTGCCATTTTTGAGGACTCCGGGTTCCTAAACAGGTCAGCTTCCCCAGCCCATCACTGACCACTCTCAAAGTGCTGCAGCAGTCCCTGCGAAGCACTAGCCATGTCCTCCCTGTAAATGGCAGGAGCTAAGACCCAGTAATGGTAAGCAGAGCTACTAAGGGCCCATACCATGGAAATGGGAAGAGGCGAAGCTACATGGCCTTTGATGCATTTCGGAAATAGTGAAGTCAAAAATGGTCCAGAACTTTGCAAATTGGAGGCATCTACTGAAATTGGATCTGTGCTGAAAAAGTTTCTAGTCCTAAATGAGCATCCCGAACCTGTCTTCAATGGTGTAGTCACGTCCAGCTGAGGTTCCTACAGAGCACCATCTATTCGCACCCTTTGTTCTTTGCAGGGCCTGAGAGACAAGGGTGCCAGTCGTTTTCCCTCATGACAGAGGTCCTAGAGAGAACAGAAAATGAACCCCCAGTATCTCATTCTAGTGACAGAATGCATAATATGACTATGGCATGGTACAAATGTCATATTTTCTTATTATAGCAATTGTGTGCTCTTCAGATTGCTTTGCAAATTAGAATCATCTTGTGATATGTGGGCCCTGTGGTATCTTTTCTGCACCTGAGAAATTAGAGCTACTGTTTTTTAATCCTAACATTTGTCAATTAGTTTAAAGAACATCTTCTATCTGTTTAGCACATACAGTTTGAGGATTCAATTTCTGACCTTCCAAAAATGAAACCTACATGAGGTAATACAATGTGCAAACATTTTTCAAAATCAGTATCAAAATACCACAATGAACCTGTTTACAATTGAGAGATGGTGTATTGTGCTAAAGACAAAATTATTTTAGGCTAATATGTAATTGAGGTTAAATATGACTACTCTTCAAAGCAACTTGCATTCCTTTCCTTTTATTCACTATAGGATATTAAGTCTTGGGTCCTACTCCCTATAATTATTACTCTCTGAATACTCGGTTAATGAAAATATGTGAAACTCTTTCACATAAGCTATATATAAAGTATAAGCTTAGCTCAGACAGAAGTATCTTCTCCAATCAAGGTCACTGCTCCCAGCTGGTACAAAAAAACAATGTGTTAAGGTGTTCACCTGTTAATTTGAGACTCAAAATCTTCCAGAGGCACTTTAGGAGAAAGTCCTAGTAATCTACTGCCCCTGGAAGCTCAGTGGGGAGTAGTTATATTCTGAATCACACAAGGTCGCCATGACTGTCATATGCCTTATTTTTGGACCATTTGACTGGAAATAAACTGTTCATAGTTGGGGGAATACTGGTAATTGGCAAACTGGGTATCACAAGAGAAGGAAATTAAATTGAGAGTGTAATAACAAGACAAATCAATATTTTAATTTTGATATGTACTATATAATTATTTTCACAATAAGAATATATATGCTTTGCATCATTTCCATTATTCAAACACAAAATCATTGAAATCATATATCTGTATAACTATTATTTTCCTTCAAATTAACTGTTTCCCACCCAAATACATCTACTCTTCACATTTGTGTTATTCTTTTACTTTCCACACATACATGTGTAATGCATCGGCTAAGTCTCTTTGAATTCATAAAGAGAAAAGATATCATTTTCAAGACCAAGGTGTACTTTATATAAGCAATGGTAATTTTTTAATCTACAAAATGACCCAAAACATTGAATATAATTTAAAGAGAACATTTATGAAGATTTATTAAAGAAAAGACAAGTCAGAAGAAGATACGTGATTTAGATGAGGGAAGCCAATACAAGGATGTCATAATGCTACCCTAGGGTTTTCAGAGATTCAGATACTTATAAAAGGATATGGGACGGTAAAGAAAATTATCACAAAAACATGTTGGCAATGAATCAATACATCACAGTTACAGGCAGAACTAAAGAAGCAGGGTTGGGACTGTGACTGAGACCTGACATTACTTTAGAAGAACTTGCAAGATTGATCCAGGACCTTCCAAGCAAGGCCGTCAGGGCATGACTCAGGACCATGTGACGCCAGTGTGGCAGTCTCTATCAAGGGTGCACTAAGAGAGACTGCCTTTCCATGGGCTGGCGACAGGAGTGGTTATAATCATTCCAATGCACTCAGCCTACGAGGAAAACTGTTCATATTCCAAGTTAATGAGCAGAAGGAATTCACTGGAGGCTCAGACAAATGAGGACGGTGCAAATGGAGTTTGAGCTTTCACTGTTATCTGGAGCCTTCTGCAAATCCACAGCTCAGAATTTAAGCTTTAATTGCTTCCTGTGGATGTCAAAACTGGAAGATGAATAAGGAAGGCTACAATGAATAGATACATTTGTGGGGAAGACATTAGAACATACTATGACCTGCCAGAAGAATAAACAAATCTGTGTTAGAGGAAGTGCAGGAAGAATGCTTCTTAGAAACAGGATGGTGAAACGTTGTCTCACATACTTTGGACATGCTATCAGGCAACATGTGTCTCTGGAAAAAAAAAAAATGCTTGGTGAAGTAGAGGGTCTGTGTAATAGCCAAACCCATCAAGGAGATGAACTGATACAGTGGCAACTACAAAGGCACCAAATATAACAATTTTAAAAATGTCAAAAATTATAGAGCATTTTGTTCTGTTGTACATTAGATCACGATGAGTCAGAACTGATGCTGAAGCACTTAGCAACAACAGTAGCAATGTGCTACATCTGCAGTAATCCTCATTCCAGTGCATTCTGTATGATAATAAGACTATCCTCATCTCTGGCCTATGATCAGAGGGGATTTGCCAGATACTTAATCCACATGTATGTCCCCTTTACTTTTTTTAAAACATACTGAAACAACTTTAAAATGGGTCAAAGGGACGATCATATTATGTTACATGTTAACCTAACTATGTCTGCCATAATCAACTTTACAATGCATTCTGTCTGATGACAAGGCTATTCACATCACTCAGCTGTGGTCAACGGGGATTCACTGGAGGCTTAATCCATGGGTGGACTTTGCAAATGGATTGTGGGCCTCAACAGCCATTCATAGCCTTCTGCAAACTACGTGTTCACAATTTAAGCTCTGCTACCATTCCCTCTTCATATTTTATTATTTACAGTCCTTGCATAATGCAGGTGGTGTGATTCTTCCATGTGCACTTAATTGATCCCTCACTTGTTAGAAGACAAGACTTTAATACCCAGATGTTATTACTTCTGATAGCTGGGCACCATCTAGTTTCTTCACCACACTTTGCTATATCACCCATATCTTCAGTGATCTCTTCATGAGGGTGGGCATCAAGCCAGTCATGCCATAAAAGTTCATTGTTCTTAGGGGTTGGAATTAAATGCAAGCTCCACATCCATTCTTGTAGTATAGAATTTAGAACACTTTAGAAAAGTAAATTATACAAGTTTAGGCCAACTATGAACTGAGATATATGAATTGTTTAACTTGTACAGATTAAGCTCTTAAGTAATTGGATACTATTTTATACACAATGGGTGTTGGTGGTAGGGCAAATCTTCTAATAATCACAGCAGCAAAGCCACACCTACCAGATTACTACATGTCATAAAGAAGCAAGGGGGACATTAGTACAGCAGCTCTATTGTAGTTCTGTGCTACTGTTCATCGTACACCCTGAAAACAAAAGCATAGAGCCAAAGTCCAATATCTGCCATTTTTTGGCCTTGTGAAAGTTAGGTTTTTCTGGGCCAACATGGTTCGCATAGGAACATGTGAGTGGAGGTTAGCCCATCAATCAGGTCACAGCTCAATTGGAGGGCAACTGTGATAGATGGTTCTTCAAGGCCGGCCT